TTCAAATTTAAAGCTTTATACGTGTAATAAACAAAATTTAAAGCTTTATACGTGTATTAAATAAAATTTAAAGCTTTTTGCGTGTATTGAATAAAATTTGAAGTGTATTAAATAAAATTTCAATTATTTCTTCAAAAAGTCTCGTGATCTCATGATTCTGTTATTCTTTTGCGCAGATTGAAATTTAAATAGTGATTATGTAACTGATCGTGGCAGTGTTGGGCAATGACAATATCATAAGTCATTTAACTAATGACATATGTCATTATATCATATGACATATAATCATATATCATTTTGTCATATTATTGTACCACATTATCATATGATTTATATGATTAATGATTAGATATCATTTGTCATTTGTCATATGAGTGTTGCGAAATAAAGGCCTAAAAGCAAAATTTCAAGTTTACTATTAGCGAATTTATCTTTAGATAGCATGTATTACAAATATTTTAGTTCCAATATCGAATAATTTTCACTATCGTATACTAATTAGTCAAACTTCTTTACATTGTTCTTGATATAGTAACAGTAACACTGGTAATCGGCGAGTTGTTCGCTTGACAGTCCAGGTCATCTTGTAACCTACGATTGGCTAGGTCGAATAGAGGCATTTAGATTTGGCGAGTGATAGTATAATCATAGGCATGTGTTCTTTTTTTACTTGCACAGGATAACAAATATCAACACTAACATCTATACTCTTTATTCACAAATTGATACGGCTTGGATCTTCAAACCGGACAACAAAATAACCACAACAGTCCATGGTACATTGGGATCGTTGTAAAACCACGGCTTGGTCCTTCTTGTTGGATCACAAACCAGAATACAATAACTACCAACATATTATATCGTCCTCATTAACAATATTCTCAACTGGTTCTACACATGTATCAAAACAGTATGTATACATTTCAACAGATTCATCTTCTTTCTGTTTCATTTGAACTAACTCAGTGATCTTGACTTCCAAATCGTCATATATCCCTATTCGTTCATCCTTACTAATACCTTTAATTTTCTTAACAATGGCAATTTTTAATACATCCCAATTATCGTCTGATGCTCTTATTAATTCAATTACCCATGATCGCAAATCCTCCTGCATTTGGTCGCATTGTTCCACCTTTTTGACATGCCGTAACTCTCAAAATCATATAGAAACCCTTCTATACCATCGAATTCATCTTCTCCATGGTAATACGGTTTTCCAATACCTAAGTCACCCATGCTCAAATATAACAATGCGTCTTACCAACTAAGAGAATTGCAACCTATTGTCAATATGCGATTGACTTTTGCTTGCCCAGGTCCTATCTGTCACGGAGTTAAGCGATACTACTGGTTTTAGCACCGAAATCTAACCAGATGTAAATATTATGAACACTCGCTTATTTATTTATTTAAAATGTTATTGAC